AGCAGTATCCAATCTATTTCAAACACTTGTGGACATACATAATATAGCAAGACTGACAAAAATAAACAGGAGATCCACTGCCTCGCATTGCACGGCGGTCAACTGAACTTTATGAAATGTCTGTGTGACATTTCAATAAAGTTTGTTTAAAAAAGAAAGTGAACAGTGCAAAGCACTGAGATCAGTGCAGCAGGACTGCACTGATCTGTCCAGACCGCAACGCACACCAGCTTGCGTTGTAACACAGTAGATGATGTGAATTAGCCCTTACTGTTCCCTTTGTAGCTATCACATCCCTGTTTACTTTTTGCCTAGTCATTTGACAGGATTGGGAAATCATTACTGGATGCAAATAGACAGGCAATATAAAAAGACAACCAGGTATTTTAGCTGTGTGCTGCTCTAGCCTGAAAAATGGAGGGGAGAGTAAAGGAGTAAAGGGGCAAGACAACCATTTTAAAGTGGTTGTCAAACCTCAGAGATGAAATATGAACAAAGCATATCCCTCTATAGTGTGTACTTGTCTCATTCTAGACCACTAAGTGTCATTTATGTTTTTGACAGCAAGAGTAAAAAGGTAACAGGAACAGACCTCCAAAATATTGACAGCTCAGCTCTGTTCCTGTGTTGTGTGTGAAGGGGGTGTGTCCCTTCCCTCCAATCAGCTCTCCTCACTGAGATCTGCAGAGTGTGTAACTTTATCTCCCTGCTTTTCAGAGCCATGTGTAAATTCTGGACTTTGCATGGATGTAGACTGCAGATAAACAGGTACAACTTATGTAGGAGGATTTGTGTTCATCTCTGTGTATTACATGAAGTCACTCACTTCACTGGGTATATGTAAGTTTTGACAACCACTTGAAATGTTAAGGCACATGCTTATTATTGCAAATCATTTTAATATAGCTGACTTGATTCATTAAATTACTAATTAAAAATTAAGTTTTAAAATATCAGGCACCCAGCAATAATGAACGTGCCAAACATTCTTGTAAGAATAAAAAAAAAAAAACATTTGTGTATTGTAATTATTGTTTAAATCAAACATTAGGATAATAAATAAAATTACTATTTAATTTCAAGGTGTTGTGTATGTGTGTTTTTTTTTAACACTTAATAAATTACAGCATATTTCCCTTTGCAGAAAACTGGCCACACAGCTTCTGTGAAATCTGTTTTAATCTAACCATACAAACTGTATTTATTTATTTATTTCAGGTACTTATATAGCGCTGTCAATTTACGCAGCACTGTACATATATATTGTACATTCACATCAGTCCCTAACCCTTAAGGGGTGTACAATCTAAGGTCCATAGCTCACATTCATACTTACACATACTAGGGCCAATTTAGACAGGAGCCAATGTACCTACCAGCATGTCTTTGGAGGAAACCGGAGAGTACCAAGAGGAAACCCATGCAGGCACTGGGAGAACATGCAAACTCCAGACAGGTGGTGGCATGGTTAGGATTTGAACCAACAACCCTAGTACTGCCACGCAGAAGTGCTAACTGTAGCAATCGTATGTACAGACATGGACACGTTCGTCCATCTTGCTCAAGACCCTCCATCTTGTATCTCTCTCTCCCTCCAATCCCCCTCCTCAGGAATGTGGTCTGTGTATGCTGAGTTCAAAAGGCATCAGGCCCCAGCTGGAGAGCTTCATGGTTATGAATCCCAAATTAGCTGGTGCCCGGGTGTCTGTTAGCTTCTCAATCTGAGATAATCGTAAAACCATAACCCAGTCCTTCACTGGGCTTCAAAGACATTCCAGCTAGCCGTAAAACAGACCTCACATTTAAAACCCACTTTTCCATATAATTTTATATCTTAAGGTAGGAAATAATCACATAAACATAAAGCATATATTGGATAGCTCAGTTTAATGCGAGTCGTCTGATATCTTACACCCCTCGTGGAAGTCTATAGGAGAGCAGAAAGCCATATAGTTCTAGCTGGAATAGTAAATTATGGCATGTTTGATATCTAGACATTCAGCAGATGATTCTGCATATTAATCTACCAGTGTATAGAATGTTACATGTACCTAGGGAAGGTTATTGCCCTGGTATAACTTGTGAGGGATTTTGGTTCTAGCCTGAGTCCCCCGCCTACAACACCCCTCCCCAAATGAGGCGATTGGTTCTCTGCTTTAAGGAGACACCCTGCTGAGTTCCTAGAAAAAAGGCTGTTATGCTTGGAGCAGTTAGAGTTGAATAATTCTCCCTTTTAACATTGGAACCAACTTTGGGAGAAAAGGCACCCTTTTGCTCAGGACCCTTGAATCTGCTTAACCCAGGACTTTTGGCAAGTACCCTACCTCTCTAAATTTCTTTCTGTTATCTCTTTGCTGTGTTATTATTCTCTGTATTTATATATATATATGTTGGCTACATCTTTTTCTGTAAATATTTTTATTGCACCCTTTTGACCTTTTTAGTAATAAATCTGTCAGGAATGGACTGGCCAGCAATGGTGGGACTCACCTGCCTTATGAGCTGCAGTACCAGGGCTGGCCAGCGGGTGCTCCCAGCAATCAGAGACTCAACCTTGCAGCCAGTCAAACACCTGGAACTGATTATACTGGTGTATTTAAGGGATGGCCAGACCTGCAGACTCTGCCTTGGTGTATGTTTCTCCTGGGCCCTGTATCCTGTTCCTGCTCCCTGTTCCTGTCTGATTCGTTGCTGACCCTGCTCTGATCCCTGGCTTTGTCTGACCAATCTCCTGCTCCTGATCCCTGGCTTATCTGACCATTCTCCTCTGCCTGACCCTCTGTACCACGCTGCCCGCTACCTGCTGAACCTGGCTTGTGACCCCGACCATTCTCCGCTTGCTCCCCCTGTACCTACCTGCCCGATTGATATTGACCCGGCCTGCCTGACGACGCTTGCATTGTATGTACTGTCATCTGTGGGTGGTTGGTTTGGTTTGTTTGCACTGTGTTATGTTTTAGTATTGCACTGCGTTTATGTTTGTATTGTTAGTGTTAATAAGTTATATTGTTTATAACATATCTGAAGTCTGCGTTTCCCTGCGTCAGTCACACACCTCTGGTCATACCCGGGAGCCCTGACAAAATCCTATTATCTGAAAAGTGTTGAACTGTTTCTAAAGCTCTTAAATGCAAACTAAGAACCCCTGTCTCTGAAGAGCGCTACTGTGTGTTTTAAACCTCTATATATCTCTGCCTGTGGTGACAGTGGTATACAGACGATCATTCAAACATCATAGTGTTATTGCTAATATTGCCGTGTTTCCTCCTTTTCTCTACAAAAAGGTGGTGGTGGCAGTTGGAAGGGTTAATTGCGTAATTAACCTGACTCAGTAAACAATCGCTCTCAGGCTGCAGGTACATAGATTGTGGTCCATTAGCTGTAAAATCTTTGTGCTGGGTTCAGCTGAGCGTGGCATTGTTACGCACATGACAGCGTGGTTTTAGATTGGCTAGTCCTTCGGTCACAAGTTGGTGAGAAGGGCTGGGGGTCTGATGCCACGATCGTCACACTAACCATTTAGCCACAGTGCTGCCCATAAAACTCCTTTAGATTTTCTAGCAACTATGTAGTGCAAGGGTGTGCCTGATCTGAAACAAATTGAAAGGATGGTTTAGATAGGTCCTCAGATCACATAGGGGTATATTTGTAAAAATAATTCACAGAACTATGTGTCCTGAAAAACTGCATGTATGTTTGTTCTGTGCAGATGCTGGCAAAAGTGAATGTTACTGTGTTTTTTCTCTCAAGGATGAATGTTCGACATTCAGAAGAATAGTGTTAATCAGGAAAACACCAGACTGTGGCCCCTAGGTGGAGCTTATGCTCACAGTAAATAAATACTTATTTACTATGAACGTCAGCTCCATCTCTTGGCCATAATGCATTATTTTCCTGATTTATGCTATTTTTATGACTGAAGAAAATCTGTTCAAGAGAGAAAATAGAATAGCAATGTTCAATTTTGCATCACAAATAATGAACAAACATGCAGTTTTGCAGGGTGAAGAACTTTTTATTTTTTTAAATAGTTATATAGTTTTTTATTTGTTTGCTGACTGTCTGTTGACAGCTCACATCCTACAAGGTTGCACTTGGCATATATTTGGAAAACTGCCATATTCCCTCCATTAATCAGGCGCAGACGGGTTTTTGTTTCTACCTCACTCCTATATATAAACTAACACAGGTGGCACGGAGAGACCTAAAACAGGTCTATTTGCTCTGTTAATATGGCACACTCCACTTGTGACAGTTTCTTGCACCACTATAATGGCACAGAAGGCTTAGTTACTTTCTCAGAATGTATAATGCTTTTGTATGTATTTGCAATTTTTTTTCTTTATAGTAACAAAACACATTTTTTAAAAAATATGTTTTCTGTTTTGCTGTAACCTATGAATATTATGTACCGTATTTTTTGCTCCATAAGACGCACTTTTTTCCTCCCAAAAAAGGGGAGAAAATGTCAATGCGTCTTATGGAGTGAATGTAAAGCAGCCGGTCCAGTATTTCTGCCGCCACTATGTCAGAATATCGGGCCGGCCGCTCAGCTCTTCTCTCCTGCAGGACCTTACCTGTTCCTCGCTTCAGCGCTGCAGTCTTCCCGCGGCAGCTTCTGTGACAGCTGGGTGCCCACTGCGCATGCGTGAGAAGCGCTGCGCTTTGTGAATAGTCCGGTGTCTTCTGGGACACATGACAGGTCCCAGAAGGCTCTGGGTCATTCACAAAGCACAGCGCTTCTCGCGCATGTGCAGTGGGCACCCGGCTGTCACAGAAGCCGCCGCGGGATAAAGAAGGAAGGACAATTCCGCGGAAGTGGGAGCGGGTACCTATCAAATTCAGGTACCTGTTCTCCCTCCCTCCCCAAAGGTCCGTAGTCTCTGGTAATCTCCTTTACTGTCTGCAGTCTCTGGTCATCTGTACTATGTTCATAGTCTCTGGTCATTCCCTGTACTATGTCCGCAGTCTCTGGTCATCTGTATTATGTCCGCAGTCTCTGGTCATCTCCTGTACTATGTCCACAGTCTCTGGTCATTCCCTGTACTATGTCCGCAGTCTCTGGTCATCTCCTGTACTGTGTCCGCAGTGTCTGGTCATCTGTACTATGTCCACAGTCTCTGGTCATTCCCTGTACTATGTCCGCAGTCTCTGGTCATTCCCTGTACTATGTCCGCAGTCTCTGGTCATTCCCTGTACTATGTCCACAGTCTCTGGTCATCTCCTGTACTGTGTCCGCAGTCTCTGGTCATTCCCTGTACTATGTCCGCAGTCTCTGGTCATTCCCTGTACTATGTCCGCAGTCTCTGGTCATCTCCTGTACTGTGTCCACAGTCTCTGGTCATCTGTACTATGTCCGCAGTCTCTGGTCATCTCCTGTACTGTGTCCGCAGTCTCTGGTCATATGTACTATGTCCGCAGTCTCTGGTCATTCCCTGTACTATGTCCGCAGTCTCTGGTCATCTCCTGTACTGTGTCCACAGTCTCTGGTCATTCCCTGTACTATGTCCGCAGTCTCTGGTCATTCCCTGTACTATGTCCGCAGTCTCTGGTCATTCCCTGTACTATGTCCACAGTCTCTGGTCATCTCCTGTACTGTGTCCGCAGTCTCTGGTCATTCCCTGTACTATGTCCGCAGTCTCTGGTCATCTCCTGTACTGTGTCCACAGTCTCTGGTCATCTGTACTATGTCCGCAGTCTCTGGTCATCTCCTGTACTGTGTCCGCAGTCTCTGGTCATTCCCTGTACTATGTCCGCAGTCTCTGGTCATCTCCTGTACTATGTCCGCAGTCTCTGTTCATCTCCTGTACTGTGTCCACAGTCTCTGGTCATCTCCTGTACTATGTCCGCAGTCTCTGGCCATCTCCTGTACTGTGTCCGCAGTCTCTGGTCATCTCCTGTACTATGTCCGCAGTCTCTGGCCTCCTCCTGTACTGTGTCCGCAGTCTCTGGTCATCCCCTGTACTGTGTCCGCAGTCTCTGGTCATCTCCTGTACTGTGACTGCAGTCCATTGGTTCAGAATATTTTTTTTCTTGTTTTTCTCCTCTAAAACCTAGGCGCGTCTTATGGTCAAGTGCGTCTTATGGAGCGAAAAATACGGTAGTTTTTTTTCTTATCCAGCCAGCAAGTGGGCTATTTGCTCTCACCCAAACCACCAGCTGAAAACAGCCAGTTGTTTATATATAGAACAATAAGCTCAAGGTGAAATGTATATGCGGCAGTTGATGATTCAGCAATGATTCAACTTACACCAGATGGCTCAGTACAAAGTTTCAGCTACACAGGGCCAAGCTGGAAAGGAAACTACTTTTGCTGGGCTGTCTAGATATTATACAGGTGAAACTCGAAAAATTAGAATATTGTGCAAAAGTACATTTATTTCAGTAATGCAACTTAAAAGGTGAAACTAATATATGAGATAGACTCATTACATGCAAAGCAAGATAGTCCAAGCCGTGATTTGTCATAATTGTGATGATTATGGCTTACAGCTCATGAAAACCCCAAATCCACAATCTCAGAAAATTAGAATATTGTGAAAAGGTGCAATATTCTCGGCTCAAAGTGTCCCACTCTAATCAGCTAATTAAGCCATAACACCTGCAAAGGGTTCCTGAGCCTTTAAATGGTCTCTCAGTCTGGTTCAGTAGGAATCACAATCATGGAAAAGACTGCTGACCTGACAGTTGTGCAGAAAACCATCATTGACACCCTCCATAAGGAGGGAAAGCCTCAAAAGGTAATTGCAAAAGAAGTTGGATGTTTTCAAAGTGCTGTATCAAAGCACATTAATAGAAAGTTATGTGGAAGGGAAAAGTGTGGAAGAAAAAGGTGCAAAAGCAGCAGAGATGACTGCAGCCTGGAGAGGATTGTCAGGAAAAGGCCATTCAAAAGTGTTGGGGACTTTCAAAAGTGTTGGGGAGTGGACTGAGGCTGGACATGGGCTTCAAATGTCGTATTCCTCTTGTCAAGCCGCTCCTGAACAACAAACAACGTCAGAAGCGTCTTACCTGGGCTAAAGAAAAACAGACCTGGTCTGTTGCTCAGTGGTCCAAAGTCCTCTTTTCTGATGAGATCAACTTTTGCATCTCATTTGGAAACCAAGGACCCAGAGTATGGAGGAAGAATGGAGAGGCACACACTGCAAGATGCTTGAAGTCCAGTGTGAAGTTTCCACAGTCTGTGTTGATTTGGGGAGCCATGTCATCTGCTGATGTTGGTCCACTGTGCTTCATTAAGTCCAGGGTCAACGCAGCCGTCTACCAGGAGATTTTGGAGCACTTCATGCTTCCTTCCGCAGACGAGCTTTATGGGGATGCTGACTTCATTTTCCAGCAGGACTTGGCACCTGCCCACACTGCCAAAAGCACCAAAACCTGGTTCAATGACCGTGGGATTACTGTGCTTGATTGGCCAGCAAGATGAGAGACATGAGACCGAACAATGCAGAAGAGCTGAAGGGCGCTATTGAAGCATCCTGGTCTTCCATAACACCTCAGCAGTGCCACAGGCTGATAGCTTCCATGCCATGCTGCATTGAGGCAGTAATTGCTGCAAAAGGGGCCCAAACCAAGTACTGAGTACATATGCATGCTTATACTTTTCAGAGGTCTGATATTGTTCTATGTACAATCCTTGTTTTATTGATTGCATGTAATATTCTAATTTTCTGAGATTGTGGATTTGGGGTATTCATGAGCTGTAAGCCATAATCATCACAATTATGACAAATCACGGCTTGAACTATCTTGCTTTGCATGTAATGAGTCTCTCATACATATTAGTTTCACCTTTTAAGTTGCATTACTGAAATAAATGAACTTTTGCACGATATTCTAATTTTTCGAGTTTCACCTGTATATTGTTAACAGAAGTCAATGCAAGTTGCAATGAAATCAGAAAAAAGTAGTGCAGAAACATATTTTGAATTCACGCTACTTTTAATTGATTAACCACTTGCCTTCTGGAAGATTTACCCCCTTTCTGACCAGGCCATTTTCTACGTTATTTCACCTGGTAATTGTGAGGTCAAGCAATGCTGCACCCAAATGAAATGTATGTCCTTTTCACACAGATAGACTTATGTTTTGGTAGATTTTGATCACCACTGAGTTTTTTATTTGTATGACCAAAAATTTTGGAAAAAAAAATATATTTTCTACTTTTGGTTACAAAAAATATCCAATAAACTCAAAATTAGTCATAAATTTAGGCCAAAATGTATTCTGCTACTTATCCTTGGTAAAAAAAAATCCCAAAACGTGTATATTAATTGGTTTGTGCGAAAGTTATAGCATCTACAAAATATGGTAGAGATACTGCAATTTATGCAGCTTTTACTTTCTGACTGCCTATGACACTTCTTGCTAAAAGTCATGCTGAAATGCCAGGGTAGTATAAGGACCCCCCAAATTACCTATTTTGTGGAAAGTAAACACCCCAAGAAATTTGCTGAGAGGCGTGTTGAGTCCATGGAAGATTTTATTTTTTTGCCACAACATTTTGAAAAATGACTATTTTTTTTTTACACATAGTTGTAACTTAAATGATATATTGCTCACGTATGCAATGGCTATGTGGAATAACACCCCAAAACATATTCTGCTAATTCTGCTCAGTATGGGGACACCACATGTAAGACTTTTTGGCAGGCTATCCACATACAGGCCCCCAAAATCCAATGACCATTTTCAGGCTTTCAAAGTGCATATTTCCTCATATCACTTCCTCACTACCTATCACAGTTTCAAAGGCCCTAAAATGCCAGCAAAGTACAAACACCTCGCCAAATGACCCCTTTTTGGAAAGTAGACAATCCATATAATTTGATACGGGCATGGTGAGTATTTTGCAGATATCATTTTTGTCACAGGGTTTTGAAAAAGAAAAAATACATTTTTGTTTTCTTTCTTCATTTTCCAAAAACTTGTGGCAACAAATGAGATCTGCAAAATACTTACCATGCCCTTTGGAGTGTCTACTTTCCAAAAATGGGTAATTTGGGGAGGGGGTACTTCTACTATCCTGGCTTTTCAGGGCCAACATTAGAAGCTTATGTTTTCAACAGTTGAAACACCTGCCACATGACCCCCTTTTTAAAAGTAGACACCCCAAGGTATTTGCTGAGAGGCATGTTGAGTGCATGGAAGATTTTATTTTTTGCCACAGGTTTTTGGAAAATGACAAAAACTTTTTTTTTACTCAAAGTTGTCATTGTGATAAAATATTTCTCACGCATGCCATGGGTATATGTGAAATTACACCCCAAAACACATTCTGCTACTTCTCCCGAGTATGGGGATACCATAAGTGTGAGACTTTTTGGCAGTGTAGAGACATACAGGACCCCAAAATCCAGTAAGCACCTTCAGGCTTTTAAAGGGCATTATTTCCTCAGTACACTACCTATCACAGCCCTTAACCACTTCCCATCCAGCCCTTGTATATAAACGTCCAACGGGAGCAGTGCAGGAGCGGGTGGCCATTTACAAACATCCTCCCGCATTCCCTGCCTGTGCTCGCTCCCTGGGAGCGCACGCACCGGACACAGTGAAACACCAATCACTGTACGGGACCTCTGTGTGAAGGTCCCGATCATGTGATCACTGATTGGCCAATCAGTGATCACATGAATAGTAGTAAGCAAGGTGTCACTTCCTGGCATCATTGTTTACTACTAGTAAAATCTGTGAATGACCACAAAGGTAACATGGTACAAGGCTATTCACAACAGCCTTATACCATGTGACAAGCTGTAACCAATCACAGCTCTCACAATATTTCTCGATGGCTGCAAGAATGCAGCCAGAGAGCAGGAGAAATAATTGCTTTTACAGCCTTTGTGGGTGTAAAAGCAATCAGTGTAAAAAAAAGAAAAACTCTTCATCACCCCCCACATGTAGTACAGTGTCACTATGGTGACACTGTACTGTTAGGGTGACAGTATGTTTAAAAAAAAAACATAAACAATAATATAAAAAAATAAAATAAAAATGTAAAAAAAATTTGAAAAATTATAATTTTTGGTTACAAACTAATTTTGATTTTTTTTTTTTGTTTACTAAAAAGATAGCTGAATACATTTTGGCCAAGCTTTATGAAGAAAGAGTATTTATTTGAAAAATTTTATAAGAAAAATATTTTTCAAAATGTTTGGACTTTTTCATTTATATAGCAAAAAATAAAAATCCCAGTGGTGAATAAATACCACCAAAATAAAGTTTTATCTGTCTGAAAAAACTGCTAAAAAATTCATATGGGTACAGTGTTGCATGACCGTGCAATTGTCATTCAAAGTGTGATAGCACTGAAAGCTGAAAATTGGCCTGGACAGGAAGGGGGTGAAAGTGTCTGGACTTGAAGTGGTTAAATGCCAGGATAGTACAGAAAAAAAAACCAAATGACCCCTTTTTGGAAAGTAGACACTCAAAGTTATTTGCTAAGAGGCATGGTGAGCATCTTGAAAATCTCTTTGGTGCCACAAGTTTTTGGAAAATGAAGAAAGAAATAAAAAATGTATCTTTTTTTTATTATATTTCAAAACCTTGTGACAAAAAATTATATCTGCATAATACTCCCCATGCCTCTTATTAAATTCCTTGGGGTGTCTACATTCCAAAAAAATGCCCTGGTCAGAAAGGGGATAAAGCCTTCCAGAGTTCAAATGATTAAACCCTAACAGCAAGAATAAACCCCCAAAAAATGTTTTTATATTGCATGTTACCAATTCTAAGATGTGATGGCTGCATTCATTTTTAGTTCTTTTTTTTTTACTTTATTTTCACCTAGTGATCCTACCAGTTATTCTGCTATTTTTCAACTTCCTTTACCAGTTCAATCTGTCAAGACAATGTGTCATTTAGAGGGTTCAGACAAACCATTTAACAATGAAAAGGGTTCTTATAATGGTCAGCTTCTATTAATTTATGCAAAATATTTATCCCACAAGGAAAAAGAAAGCTGCTGTAATTGTTTAA